ATGGTTTTCTTTTATTATATATTATGTTCTTACATGTTATTGACGGGACTGGCGGAGGACGTCGTGGACGTGGCTTACGAGGCGGACAAGACCGACATGGCGGACATGGCGGTGGCGGTTATGGCAAGCGTGGTGGACGTGGCGGGCGTGGTGGACATGGCAGCAAACAAAATTATAATTTTCTGTTTTTCAACTTATTTTATCCTTTTTGTGGTATGATCATTTTATAATATTTCAGAATTTCTGTTTTATGAAAATCGGACGACAATATCTTATGGCTGCCATAGGAACGATCGTGAAATTAATAGACAAAAACTATAACTTCGTTGTTTTTCAACGTATTTTCATCTACTTTAAGATATGCGCCTTTTTTAATATTAGGGGAGAGTGGGGATAGGTGAACCACGGGGATAGATGAACCACTACAAATATTTCACCTTCTGTCATGATTTGGTGCGCCATCTTATGTGTGTTGCTTACTTAGTCGATATTCTAACCTCACACCCACGCACAGTCGCGTCAAACGATTGTTTTCGTTTTCATCGCTAATACTGTCTTCCCACACAGCACATTTGTGAGGAACGTTTGGGTTTTTTCACAAATGTGAAACTCGTGTTCCCACACAACATTAAAGCACATTCAACATCCGAACAGCTGATCGATCAGCTGTGGCTCATGAAAACGTAAACAAAGGCTGTCGAATTGGCAGTTGCAAATTTGAAATGGAGCATTTACCAACTATTTTGGCTGTTGTACAACAGCAAAATGCACAGATTGCGTCACAATTTATCCGCACTAAATTTAAATGAATTAAATGACAAGGAATTTTAGTTTTTCTAATGATTTTTCTCTAACAAAGAGCAAATTCCCCGAAGAGTGTCTATAGGTGGTATAGGCATCCAAAATCTTTAAAATAAGGTAGAGGTAGGCGGTTTATATTAAATAGTAACAATTGGGGACGTATTGGGGCAAGAATATACAGAAAAAACGCCAACAACTATTTTGGGCATTCTTGTAGCTTTGGCGCCACGTTTTAAATTCCATATCTCATTTGTTCCTCGCCAAGTTTGTTTACATTTTCGTGGTGAATGGTAAAATTAAGAAGATGAATCAGAGTTGCACCGAAAAACTATCGCCTAACTATCGCCAAACAAACCGTGGTTAGATTTTAAGCCTAGTACTCTGACGAGCCTAGTACTCAAGAGAAAACCTCATTCTTTTATTTATTTCCATACGTATTTAAACACGTACATATGCATGCATGTATGTATATTTCTCGCTTAGTACATTTATAGGGTCTTCCCACTCAACATTAAAGCGCATTTAGCATCCGTTGAACAAATGCTCCATAAGGTTTTGCCGTTCCGAATTTTCCCAAATGGACCGGCGTTAGTTCAGCGTTAAAATCTAACCACGGTTTGTTTGGCGATAGTTAGGCGATAGTTCTTCGGTGCAACTCTGATTCTTCTTCTTAATTTGACCATTCACCACGAAAATGAAAACAAACTTGGCAGGAACAAATGAAAACTGGAATTTAAAACGTGGCGCCAAAGCTACAAGCATGCCCCAAATAGTTGTTGGCGTTTTTTTCTGTATATTCTTGCCCCAATTGTTACTATTTAATATAAACCGCCTACCTCTACCTTATTTTAAAGATTTTGGATGCCTATACCACCTATAGACACTCTTCGGGGAATTTGCTCTTTGTTAGAGAAAAATCATTAGAAAAACTAAAATTCCTTGTCATTTAATTCATTTAAATTTAGTGCGGATAAATTGTGACGCAATCTGTGCATTTTGCTGTTGTACAACAGCCAAAATAGTTGGTAAATGCTCCATTTCAAATTTGCAACTGCCAATTCGACAGCCTTTGTTTACGTTTTCATGAGCCACAGCTGATCGATCAGCTGTTCGGATGCTAAATGCGCTTTAATGTTGTGTGGGAACACGAGTTTCACATATGTGAAAAATCCCAAACGTTCCTCACAAATGCGCTGTGTGGGAAGACAGTATTATGGAAATAAACGAAAGAATGAGGTTTTCTCTTGAACTACTGAACGAATTTTGATATAACATCTACCAAATTACTTCAAAAGGCGATGCCGGTTATGAGTTATGCAATTTTGTAGAAGTTTTCAAATTGTCAATAGAATTTAAGCTGGCGGGGACTCATCGATAGGGCGTGGGAGCCGCTCCTATCGATATCAAACCAGTATTATTAATGAGGTCGGAAAAGAGAAAAACTTGACTTTCTCAAAATCTGCCGGTTAGAACTCAATAAGATTTAATTCGAAATTAGAGAATAGAACTCCATTTCGTTTGATATACCGTGCATATCTGCATATCCTCATTTTAGCTAGAAATATTTGGTTGAAAGTTAGCATCGAAAACATGGTATGGAGCACGTGGCGTTAGGGTCAATGTGGAACCAGTGTTAATAATGAAGTTGGAAAAGGAAAATAGGAATTTCTCAAAATCTGTCGGTCAGATCGACCTAAGATTTTTATAGAAATTTAAGAATAGAATTCCCTTTCTTTTGATATACCGTGCAAATCTGCATATCCTCATTTAAGCTAGAAATAATTTGTTGAAACTTAGCGTCGAAAACATGGTTGGCGCATTCAATTGGTTAAAAACATGGGTTGTGTGACGTCACACGTTTGGCGATCGTTGGTTTTCTTTGCTGAAACATACATATATGGAAATAAATGGAAAATGGCCGTTTTCTCTTGATCGACTGAACAGATTTTAATAAAACATGTACCAAAATGCTCAAAATGCCGATGTTGTTTATTGGGCAGTCACTTTATTTAATTTTAAATTGCTTAAATGGGTAACGTTTTTAAATCTAGTATTTTTTTAACATGGTTCCGTGCCTTGGATCAGCAACTAGTTCTCTGCTCACAGTTCCCAGTTCACAGCTGGTTCCATTTTCATACTTCGCGCCTATGTTATCAGCCCAACTACACCACCCACTGCAATTCGATTTTCTCGAAATCTGCCGGTTAAAATCTATTGAAATTTTCACCAAATATTCTTTAAACTTCTCCTAACAAGCCCATATACCGTGCATGTTGGCATATCCTCTTAAACTGGAGTTATAAGACTTTAAAAATGTTCTGCCATATTTTGTATGGAGCCGACCCAAGGTTAGTTAACTGTTATGCGATTTTCTCAAAAACTGACGGTCAAAAGAAAATGAAACTTTGCAGAGTAAAACTACAATAAATATCCTGGCATATCGGGTATTGCTGCATATCCTCTGTGAGCCGAGATATAATCAAAATTGCGAAAGCACGATTTTTCAAATGCTTTTTTTAATAGACCCAAAGGTCAAACCCCCCAAACCTAGTAAAAATCATTAGTAAATTCATTTTTAAGCATTTATAAACTTTATTTTGTTCAAATTAGTGCCTTATTAACGAAATAAATAAAAAATAAAAAATCCCTCAGTGTTCCATTTTCCCACCGTTCCATTTCGACGCTAACTCACCGACGCTAATTTTACGGACATCAAAATTACACATATAGTGGTCTCTTTCAAGGTTCTAATGAAGTAGCTAATTAATGAAAACTGCATTAGTGTATCATATGGGCATTATGAACAGAATTCACACAATGAGCCGTGTGATTTATGCAAAACAAACGTGGAGAAACATCGATGTGAGTAGACATTGATGATTAAAAATAACATCTTTGAAACTTCAATGTTTTAAAAAAATAAATTGTAAAAACTTAAATTGACCAATCCGGTCTGCTCCGGTAATATATATAATAATATTTTTTTGATTTCGGCGAAGTCGTTCGATTTAGTTTTTAGCTGCTCCGGTTATTGTTTAATTTTTGCTATCGGAATGATTTTCTTTCTCATAATTTTTTACCTTTCAAACAGCCGACTTTTTTGTTTGGTAAACAGCAATCTACATGAAGAACTGCACTTTATATTTGCATTTGCATGTTTCGAAGCCAGGTGGAGGCAGAAATAGCTGAATTTGAGAAAAACTAGGGATCTTAGAGTTGTCACATATTTCACAGTTTTAATTCCGGTGGTCTCAATTACTTTTTGGGTGAATTTTGACCATTTAAGTAGTTAGGTGAAACATTTTTGGACCTTCTTTAAAGTTATTAATATATACTTTCATATTTTATAAGAATTTTAACCAGGCTGTTTCGTTTCACCATTAGTATGTCAGCCTTGGCGATAATTTTTTGCGATGGACTTATAGACTGCTCGCCAGATCGAAATTATTTGTTGAACACGTCAACTTTTCTTGACAAATCTGAGATGGGATCAGAAATACATTTTTTATAAAATAACTACGTGCCAGAATGATCTTATAGTGGTCTGGAGTAAACTATTTTTTGCCTTTAGTAAATAAGATCTGATTTCATATAAAAAAGTAATTTACTTTTCATTTCGGCCAGACAAAGGTGCCCGTTAAATCGAACAAAATCTTACGAATTCGAAACCCGGAGCACCGATTTTTTTATATCAAAATCGAAAACGAAAACATTTTTAGTTTTCGATTACCGGAGCAGGTCTGTATATCAATGTCGGTATATGTTTTTCTACATCTCTTTCCTGTGCAACTCTGACTAATCACTACGAAAACGTACACTCTAAAGATGTTTATTTTCCAATATTATTCTAAAACATATAAATCAAAGTTGTTACTCAACTTTTATATGACAATGGAAAATTAATAATGGTACTACAGCTATTTATATTAAAATTTAGTAATTATAATTAGTTTGAAATTTTTGTTTATATAAATGAAAAGACCTACTTTTATACAAATTATATATAAATTATATTTATACAAACTATAATTGTTACTATTCCTTGTTTTTCGATTCTGGTTTCGCAAAAGATTTTACAGAACACTGCATTTGGCAAAATGTCAAAAAGCCATATGCAGTTCCAGTAAAAACGAGACATAACACTTTATCGACATGAATTCGATTAGTTTTCATTCGATTCGTATTCCCTAATCGTAACATATGTTATGTTTGTTTCTAGCCTTACAGTTAAATGTAAGCGACCCCCATCCCCTCGGTTGCGGGTTTCAGCGACAAGCAAGAAAAAAATATCAAGAAGTGCAGTGCGGTGCATCTCAAGAAACAAATCTTTCCGAAATTTGCAGTGTGCCTGTTATAGTGTTTTATGTATGCACTGCTTCCTTGCTGTTTACCCAACAGCCAACTGATGAGTCTCTATTGTTTTCATTAACGAACGAAAATCCCCCGTCCCCTCCATCCTGTGTTTTGTCTACTCGTCGCCCAGCCTCCCTTCTGGTCAGCTTCCAGTTACTCTACTGATCCACAACACACGCCCATATCATCAGCTCCGGCTACAGCTTCATTATTCTTCTCCGCAATGGCAAGCAATAGCTTTAACAGTGCCGTTGGTGGAGGCGTGGCATGTGTAAACTCGGATCTGTGGCGCGAGTGCGTTGGATGGCTGATCAGGTGTAAGGTCATCCCGAGCGACCACAAAGCTGCTCAGTCGGACGCCGAGATCCGGAGTCTGGCGATGACGTTACGCGACGGTGTGCTGCTATGCAACCTAGTCATGTATCTGGAACCTAATAGCATGGATTCACGTGAGCTGCATCGCAAGCCCCAAATGGCACAGGTAAATTAAAAGTTAAAGTGGTGCATTCTTTGCGGAACATAACTAACAGAGCGCTTCCACATTGCAGTTTTTGTGCAGCAAGAATATCAAATTGTTCCTTGACGTGTGCCGCAACGTCTTCGGGATCCGGGACGCCGACCTTTTTGAGCCGACAATGCTGTATGACCTGACGAACTTCCATCGTGTGCTCATCACGCTTTCAAAGTTGTCACAGTGCCGTAAGGTGCAGCTGATGCACCCGGATCTTGTGTAAGTGCCCCGAAGCAGGGAAGTATCAAGAAAAAGTCAGATTAGATAAATATCCCGCTTAGTATCATAAGGTTAATTCGGTGCAAAACGGGACACTTTACAAACAATTTTTGTGGCAAAACAGCTAAAGTTAGCTTAATGAATTAAGTACCACATAATAACACAACATTTTGTGTTAAATAATCTAATGAAAAATAATTAGAGGTCTAGGATCCGATATAAAAAAAAAATAATGAAGTTGTTAACGAATTTTTCCTGATTTCTTATCGATATTGGATGCCGAAATCCCGAAAATTTAAGTTCGTTTGTTAAATAAAAAAAAAAATAATGATATAAAAAATTACAAAATTTCCTGTAAAATTGGTTATAAAAGTTATGTTCCAAATGTCAAACCAGTTGGTCATTTTGTGTTATCATGTACACCGCAGTGGCGGATCCAGAGACGATTCTTGGGGGGGGAAATTGAACTTATTGACAGAAAATTATTCTATTGGACAGTCAAGTTGAGGCGTTTTTGGCGAGATAAACGGATTTAAATGAAAAGTCACCATGCGTTGAGTGTTTTCATACTCAATAGTGCCAATTGTACAGTATTATATAGGATAATCATGCCAGATAGTAACATTTTTAGGTTGCAAGGGGGGGAAATTTCCCTAATTTTCTGTGCAAGTATAAATAAAAAGAACCGTTTAAAGCTTCTGAGAGTTTTAACGCTTCTATACATAATTAAGCATATATTCTGAACAGCAAAAAAACTGTTTAAACGTAGTAAATGCTTGTATTATTATACCCTTGCAGGGTATTATAATTTCAGTCAGAAGTTTGCAACGCAGTGAAGGACCCTAAAAAGTATATATATTCTTGATCAGCATCAACAGCCGAGTCGATCTAGCCATGTCCGTCTGTCCACCTGTCCGTTTCTACGCAAACTAGTCCCTCAGTTTTAAAGCTATCTGAATGAAACTTTGCATATAGTCTTCTATATTTTCTCACTGCTATATATGTAGGAACGGGCCGGATCGGACGACTATATCGTATAGCTGCCATACAAATGTTCGATAAATTTTTAGAAAAATAATTATAACTTGTCTGTTTTTCAACATTTTTGCACCATTTTTTAGATATGGCCATTTTATATTATTTCTGACTTTTGGTAAAAATTTTATGAAAATCGGACGACTTTATGATATAGCTGCCTTAGGAACGATCGGGAAATTAATAGGAAAAAAATTATAGCTTAGTTGTTTTTCAGCGTATTTTTATCTACTCTGAGATATAGGCTTTTTTATTATTCTAGAATTTTGGTATTAATTTCATAAAAATCGGACAAATATATCATATAGCTGCCATAGAAGCGATCGGTAATTGTATAAAATATGTAAAGCTGGGAATGTAAAACTGTAACTGTCAAACTGTAAACATAATAAGTATACATAGGTAAACTGTAATGAAACTCTGTTTTGTGAGTGTTTTCAACATTTATATCTATAATATAAACATCAAAACCAATCTGCAAGGGTATACAAACTTCGGCGTGCCGAAGTTAGCTTCCTTTCTTGTTTTTGGAATTGTGAATAAGTGCCTCAAGGCACTTTTAGGACCTAGAGGGTTAAAATATTGAGCTTTTATAAGAAAAAATAAAAACAAAATTCAATTTAAGGGGGGACATCTGAGTAACTGGCCGAAAAAAAAGCGATTTTCAAGAATTTTTTTTTGGCCAAATGAAAAAGCAAATCGAAAAATTTTTAAGTAGGTTTGATAATGTTATATGTGAAGTACAAAATACATTTTTTTTTTAATAAATCGAAAACAAAATGGCGGCTGTGCAGCATTTCTTCGTAGGCCCTATTTTTTTGAAAGGGGTCCATGGCCGGAAACCTAACGTCCTTAATTTTTGATCTAGAACAAAAAATCAAATTTTGTTAGATTCTATATCTCAACCGCTATCGACACACGTAGGATTTTTTCGATATTTTGATTTTTAGCAAAATGGTGAGTGATTAAATAAAATTTTCAATTTTCATGAGAAAAAAACGTCACAAAATTGTTGATAAAAAAAAAGTAAACAAAAAAAAAAAAAAAAATCCTACGTGTGTCGATAGCCATAGGTATTTTGAATATACTGTCGAAATTTCAGATCGATCGGTTAAGATTTGTTCGAGTTAGGTTTCCGGCCAACTCAAAAAAAAGTGGTTTTGAGATAAACGCGTTTAAAGTTTGATTACATGTGAGGCATCGCCGCAGAATGGAAAATTTCGACACTTAGAAACTTTTGCCGGACTCTATCTTTTGATATGTTATTTTTAAGACCCTAAAGTATTTTTTAAACAAAAAAAAAAATTTCGATTTTAAAAAAAAGTTACTCAGATGTCCCCCCTTAAAAGTAAGACAATACTAAAAACAAAAAAAAAAAACAAAAAAAAAAATTTTGTGTACACTAGTTGGCACTATTATTTTGACAAATTAATCCCTGTGAATTTTTCATAACAATTTTTAAATGGTTTCATAATGAATTTTCTTTTTTTCCTTTTTGCAAATAACGAATATAAACTTAAACAAGAAAGGAAGCTAACTTCGGCACACCGAAGTTTGTATACCCTTGCAGATTGGTTTTGATGTTTATATTATAGATTTAAATGCTGACAACACACACAAAACAGAGTTTCATACCTATTTTATTTATTATTATTACCTATTTTTATTATGTTTACAGTTTGGCTGTTACAGTTTTACATTCCCAGCTTTATATATTCTTTACATCTACCGATCGTTTCTATAGCAGCTATATGATATAGTTGTCCGATTTTAATAAAATGTATACCAAAATTCTGAAATCATAAAAAATTCTCTATATCTCAATGTAGATGAAAATACGTTGAAAAACAACGAAGTTATAGTTTTTTTTCTATTTTTTTCCGATCGTTCGTATGGCAGCTATAAGATATAGTCATCCGCTTTCATAAAATTAAAATCGAAAATTTGAAATAATATAAAATGGCGGGGTCCCGCTTCCACCTCCCGCCGACCGAGGGCCGCAGCCGTGTGACGTACGGCACGAATCGCGAACTGGATAGACGCGTTAGAAGGAAAGACGAAAAGGAACGAGGAAACATTAGGAGAGTACAAAATATAATACAATATAAATATAATATACTATAAATATATAAATAAATAAAAACGCATGCAAAATAATGAGAGTATAATGAAAATATATAACTATATAAATAAATAAATAAATAAATAAATAAATAAATAAATAAATAAACAAATAAACAAATATATTTAGATAGCTTTAAAACTGAGGGACTAGTTTGCGTAGAAACGGACAGACGGACGGACAGACAGACGGACATGGCTAGATCGACTCGCCTGTGGATGCTGATCAAGAATATATGTAGAGAATATATACTTAATATTCCAAGGAATGTGGGTTCTTTTACGTCAAATTGTTCAGACATAATGTTAATAAAAAAAAAAACTGGTTCACCTATCCCCACTCTCCCCTACTTTATAGGGTCGGAAAGGTCTCCTTCACTGCGTTGCAAAGTTCTGACTGAAATTATAATACCCTGCAAAGGTATAAAAATTAGTATGTAGAAATTCTACAGAACCAAATTAAATAAAAATATCTCATACTTGAAAATCGGTTGTTTATTTTCAAAGATATTCAATGTTTACATACCGACATAAAAGATGGCGCACCCTGTACAACATAACATCTAATGTAGATAGCCTTCCGAAACTAAAAACTTGAATATTAACCCACTAAGTACGCATGCAAGCAACCAATCCGGGAGCACGCCAGTAGTAGTTTCCTCGTATCATTATACCCTTGCAGGGTATTATAATTTCAGTCAGAAGTTTGCAACGCAGTGAAGGAGACATTTCCGACCCTATAAAGTATATATATTCTTGATCAGCATCAACAGCCGAGTCGATATAGCCATGTCCGTCTGTTCGTCTGTCCGTCTGTCCGTCTGTCCATCTGTCCGTCTGTCTGTTTCTACGCAAACTAGTCCCTCAGTTTTAAAGCTATCTGAATGAAACTTTGCATATAGTCTTCTATATACTCTCACTGCTATATATGTCGGAACGGGCCGGATCGGACGACTATATCATATAGCTGTCATACAAATGTTCGATAAATTTTTAGAAAAAAATTATAACTTTGCTGTTTTTCAACATTTTTGCACCATTTTTTAGATATGGCCATTTTATATTATTTCAGAATTTTGGTAAAAATTTTATGAAAATCGGACGACTATATGATATAGCTGCCATAGGAACGATCGGGAAATTAATAGGAAAAAAATTATAGCTTCGTTGTTTTTCAACGTATTTTTATCTACTCTGAGATATACGTTTTTTTTATTATTTTAGAATTTTGGTATAAATTTCATAAAAATCGGGCAACTATATCATATAGCTGCCATATAAACCGATCGGTAAATGAATAAAATATGTAAAGCTGGGAATGTAAAACTGTAACTGTCAAACTGTAAACATAATAAGTATAGGTAAAATGTAATGAAACTCTGTTTTGTGAGTGTTTTCATCATTCATATATAATATAATAATATAAACATCAAAACCAATCTGCAAGGGTATGCAAACTTCGGCGTGCCGAAGTTAGCTTCCTTTCTTGTTTTCTATTTATTTCCTTTGCGCCTACTAACACCTAACACGAACAAGGACGTGCTTGGTGTTGCAAGGTCCACTTGTTTTTACTGCCCATAGTGCAACAGCTATATGATATAGTAATTTTCATAAAATTAAAACCGAAATTCTGAAAAAGTACAAAATAACCATATCTCAAATCTCATGTCTCTTATCTCATATGTTAAATAACAGCGAAGAAATCATTTGTTTTCTAAAAATCTGTCCATAATTTCTATTGGAGCTATATGATATAGTCGTCCAATCCGACCCGTTTCGACTTATATAGCGGTGAGAGAAGTCAAAAGATTACCTGCAAAGTTTCATTCAGATAGTTTACAAACTGAAAGACTGGGATGGACACACAGGCAGACCGACGGACAAGCGTACGGACAGACAGACATGGCTAGATCGACTCGGCTGTTGATGCTGATCAAGAATATATATATACTTTATAAGGTGGGAAATGTCTCCACTGCATTGTAATCTTCTGACTAAAATTATAATATAATAAAAACAGCACGTCATTTTCTTTTACAATCGAAAAATGCTTAAATCTTACTCAACATAACTGCATTTAATTTTGTTTATATCTCGTATAGTTTGTCAGCTATAAAAGTTTGAATTTCAAGTTTATCTCTGCACGAAAAAAGCTGTGAGTCACAGTAAATATGTATGTAAATACTATCAGCCAGCCAGTAGGCCTTAGTGGCTGGTGCTCTTAATGTTCAACTGTTAGCTGTACTCGAATTGATAAATGAATAACCTATTGTTTTAATTCACACGGAATGTTTTGATAAACCAATGTAAAATATACATTTCAGTGGCTTTAACCTACTAGTGTCGCCAAGCGAGCGTTCCCATTCAGACGAAGCCATCTACAAGGACCTGCATTCCACGTGAGTATCCGTAAGCTTTCAGCTTACTATGTCATAATCATATTAAGGGCTCCCCACTTGACCCGCTGCCCCTGGGGCCTTTAAATACCTACACTTTCCTATAAATTGCGGCCATTTCAAAACTCATCTCAGTCTCTGCCCTTGATGTACGCGGCTAGAAGCGAACTAAACCTTGTCAAATCAAATTGTTCGAACTCGGTGTTTACATATCAAATAGCTTCAAGTTTAATATATATTACTATTAAACTAATAATTATAATCAAAATGGCAAATATAGTATATAGTGAATATACTATTCTGTAAAACTCTATTTTTCTTTAACCCTAGATGGTCATTCCTATTTTTACTTCTCTTAAGGGGGGGATATACATACAGTAAGTCACAAAAGTATTCGTTGCAAGGTTCCCGACGAATAATTATGTTATTTTTTTAATGATTAAGTATCAAATTGATCACTTTAGTTTTTATTTTATGTTACTCAGATATTAAACAATAGGAAAACAACAAAAAGTTGTTAAAAAACTAGCTTCATTGCTGTTTTTTCTTAGAAATTCATTTGAACTACAAAATTTTATGTCACAAAAGTGTTCGTTTTTTTGTTTCGCCATTAAATATTTATTATTTTTTTATTTTGTTATATCTTATGTGCAATCCTTTGTTATATTTAATAGCTTATAATCGTCCTTGCATTGGCTCTACCCATTTTGGGCACCTCTTTCAGGATATATTCGACCATTTCTTCCGCATTATATCTTTATGTTTCTTTTTCGGCAGAAATCCGCTGTTCCTGGAATTTTAGCTTAAGATGGTGTCATAGATTTTCAGTAGGGCTAACGTCTGGGCTCTGTGAAGGAGTTTTAGTCTGGTTTCAATAGTACAACACCCACATCTTGACTTTAAAAGTCGTTTGTTCGGCTCTATTGTACTGGTGGAAATTGAACTTGTCGGGTTCTGGACACATTAGGGTGCCACTGGAGAGTTAATTACACCTTAATAAATTTATATATATATCAGCAATTATTATCCTGTCTAAAGAAAACCATATTTCCAGCCCCTGGGGCAGACAGACAGCCCAAACTACATAGAACAGAACCTCTGATGTGCTTTACTGGTGCTGTATAATTTTTTAACTTGAGGGCTTTTCCGGGCTTGTGGCAAACTATCCCTTCTCAATCCGACCCCTAAACATTGAAAAGCTTTTTTGCTCAATATTACTTGCCCTGAATACTCTAAAGTTTGGTTCAAATACGTTATATTAAAAAATAGCTTCGGCATATTGATAGGTGAAAACATGGATTTTATTTTAGAGCTTCTACCATGCTTATCATGGCTTCTAGGAACTGTTCCGATAGTTTAAGTGGTTACATTTGTTCCTTAGGATGTGGTCATGGCGGTGTTAATTTTTGCAGTCTATAAATGTATGCCTTTCCTGTTTTTTTTTTAAGAATTGTCCTATCTTCTCTGATTTTCAATTTCTATGTTCGGCCAAAACGCGGCTTATTTTCCAGGAAATTTCTTGATTTCAGTAGAAAAACCACGCCTATTATGGTAAGAGGACTATTATCAAACATACCAGAAATATATTTAAAGGATCAACCCTCATTGTGTAGGTGTAAAGTAATTTTCTTCTGGAAAATGTTTTGACTCTGTACTATTCGGCATTTTGTAACTGATTACGAGCCACAATGGCGCTTAAATGTTGTGTTTTTCCATGAATTAAATTTAAAATGTATTCCCAACCAGAATACTGAAAAAGTTGCACTAACCCACGAAAAAAAGAAAAAATAATAAAAAAAAATCTCAGAAACGAATACTTTTGTGAGCATAAAAATCGATTTAGTTTTATATATTTGTCTGTAGCTTGTTATTGAAAAGGTTTTCTCTAAGTTTTTTTTTGTCATATGCTAAACAAAATATACATCTTTGGGATAGTAATCCATTTTTTCACATTTTGAAGCTTTTAGCTAGTGACAATTGACATTTTCCTCAAGACCTCCTTTGCAACGAATACTTTTGTGACTCATTGTATGTATGTACATGTAAACCGAAGCTTTTTTGGTAAATTTTTTTTTGTTTAAAAAATAGTTTATTACTTAAAAAATATACTGTGTAAGTTTCATTATGGAATTCCAACTTTAAGTGCCTCAAAACAAGTATGCACGCAAGGCATACAAGTACTAACGTGGGCGCATCAAAAACCTTAACGTCTTTTTCTTAGTTTTTGCATTTTTACCATGCTTTGGACACGATTCACAAAAAAACCATGTAACTTATCGGAGTGAATCATAAATTATTATGATTAGCATGAAATGATCTTCTATTTGAACCCAAATGTTAATAATAAAGTTCAGTATTGCTATTTTTTTATTTTTATAATTCTTATTTGTTTTTTCAAATATAAGATAAAAGTGTAATGAGAACAAAAAATGTTTGCGCATTTCCGACACAAACTACGAGTTCTATAGTGTCCATAGCCGGGAAGCTCAAAGCTCGAGGCGCTGCGGCATATACTCCATAGGTCCGCCATTTTGTAAATTATTTTTTATAACACGTATTGTTTGATTTGTCTATTATTTGGGGAATCAGCTGTTTATATTTGAACATTAAGTGCTTTACAGTTTAAACCGAGCGAAGTATACACATCAAACAACAGCTATGATACGGACAAGATTCACAAAGAAATCCGAACATGTCAGAGTAAACCAAAGATTATTCTTACGATCCAATTGCAAACTTCAAAGGTATACAAACTTCGGCTTGCCGAAGTTAGCATCGTTTTTTGTTTATCTTATAATTTGTGACAATTGAGCATTAAAGGCTTGAGGGGTTGACCCATGTGACGGCCTTAAAGCACTCTTATATGTAGATGTATCGCTGCTCTTATAGTATGCATATTGCGTCAAGAAATACAAAAATGTATAAGTGGATACAGTGTAAAACTGCAACATTGGATTTCTTTCTAAGTTTGTTTTCAGCTTATTAAACAACTTAACCTTTTTGTGATAAACCGTAAAATAAATATCCAACGAAACGCGAAAACATTCAACTCGTGTTAGCGTTCTTTTCTTCAGTGTACACAAACTATTTCCGATATATCTTCCCGAATTTTATAAATATGTTAAAGGTATTTTGGCATCGGAAGACGAAAGAGGAGTCCTTGTATCTAAGAAATTTCTGTGTCCAGCTAACACTGTCTAACACACTCTATTTTCTCTCTGTCTCTACCTCTCTGTCTCTTTCTTTACTTTGCCGACCGACTTTGTATGAATGAACTCAAACGTGTATGCCTGATGTGTGATTGCTTTGTTGCTGGTGTGTGGTCTTGCTATGGGGGATGCCTCGATCCTGCAGCGACCTTAACATGCGGAAGGCAAGCAGCATCGACGCCTCCGGCTCGTCCTCGACAGAATACTACGACCTCACCTCGCAGAGCGGATCGTTGTCGGTGGAGGACGAGAACAGCGACATCACCATCGAGAACGGTACCGAGGATATTGACGATTACATCGAAGACTCGCTCTCCAACATGTGCGACTCGACCATCGATCCTGATGGGTATGGAATGAATATGGATAAAGGCCCGCTGGCAGCCACTCAGGGCAGTAATTCTCAAGGCCTTACGTACGATTTCGCCCTGGGTGCAGTTAGCTCCACCTTGGACTCAGCCTCTGCAGCGGTCACGCCCACGCCGGAATCTTTTGACCAAAAAAATAAGTCACTCATCCCAAGTGACGCTGCCGCCTCGCCTGCTTTCAACTCCGATTTCAATGCTCCCGACTCATCAATGGAGCGCCTCATATCCAGCTCTTCGTCTTCCACATCTCTGTTTGTCAGCGAGAGCCAACGACTGCAGCAGGCTGCCGCCGCTGTTTACAATTACCGCTCCTCGATGACATCCACGGAGCACGAGTACGCCTACATTTACAGCGAGGACGACGACAAGGTCTACGAGGATCTCTGCTATGTCACCTTCCAGACGATAGCGAAACCTGAGGTGTGCCCCTATTAATTTTCTCTGTGTTCAGCAGGGTGGGACCAAGCTATATTTCTGAACCAACAAGATAGAGGAATCACAAAATTTCGATGCAACAATACAAAATTCAATTCAAAACATTTTTTTATATATTTTTTTTTAGCTGTCAATTTAGATTGCGCCTAATTTAATCTTATCTTGTACTCCATTTTCACTTTATTTTGTATGTCTGCAATTAAATGTTCTTTTTCGCTTTCAGTTATTGGTGAGCTCAAACGCAAGCTGGCTTTGTAGAGCTAAGTTGATATACACTGGCACTTTTAATATAACTTCGTAGACGCAGGATATAGTCCTTAGGTTTTCATCGAGTCTTAAAATTCTTTCCAAATGTAATAAAACCACCGTTATTTTAGTCTATTCTTTTTTTTTTAAGCTAACACTTTGCAAATGCATGAGTAAGTAGGTTCTCCTTTTGCAATTCAGTACGCAAGAGAGCTAGGTATGAACACACGCCTTTGTCCTTTTTCAGTCAATTGAATTTTCGATAAGGGCAGGCGAAAGGAAAACATTTTACCATACCCGCCTGTTAAAATGGCGATTTGCTGTGGGAAGCAAAGCCGTATTGCGGCTTTATCGAGCGAGGAAAACGTTAATGTAATATATTAAATCAAATATGTTCCAATAATAGGGTATCGTGACAAAAAAAAAAAAAGAATACAACAATTTACTTAAAACTAAATTTAGTTTTAATAAATGGGATTTATAAATAGGATTTTAATATTAGCGGATCGTGACAAAACAAAAGAATACAAGATATTTAAATATTTAACAATAAGATGTCAAATGGAAACAAATAAGAAGAAAAATGGCGAAATTTTCACACCCTACGCACTCTACTGCACCAAAAAAAAAACTAGGATGTTGACCCAAAATATTGGAAAGTAGAACATAACTGACCCCTTAGTATGACTATAACTTACGTGTTTTGGAAGAATACCCTAATAGGGTCTACCCATCCACCGTCCGTTGAACTAACTGCCCATAAGGTTTAGCCGTTCCGAATTTTCTGAAATAGAACGCATTAAAATCTAACCACAGTTTGTTTGGCGATAGTTAGGCGATAGTTTTTTCGGTGCAACTCTGATTTCTTCTTCTTAACAGTGCAAATTTGACCACGAAAAATGCAAACAAAGTTGGCGAAAATTTCACCAATTGTTACCATTTAATATAAACCGCCTATCTGTACCTTATTTTAAAGATTGGTGGTATAGGCCACCTATAGACACTCTTCGGGGAATTGGCTCTTTGTTAGAGAAAAATCATTAGAGAAACTAAAATTCCTTGTCATTTAATTCATTTAAATTTAGTACGGATAAATTCTGACGCAATTGCTGTTCTTTAACAGCCGAAATGGTTTTTAAACTATTCATTTTACTCCCACATCGGCCGCTTCAGCCATCATTGTTTACGTTTTCATGAGCCACAGCTGATCGAACAGCTGTTCGGATGCGGATGCACTTTAACGCAGCTCTGTGGGAACACGAGTTTCACTTTTTTTTTAAATCCCAACCGTTCCTCACAAATGCGCTGTGTGGGAATACAGTATAAGTCCTTGTTATACTATCTCCCAATCGATAGATAGTGAGTTTTGGCGCTTCTACGTACTAGGGGCTTGATGGTTAATTTTTTTTCGAAGCTTGAAGACAAATCAGATCCAATGGATATCAGACTTGATCTGCGTAAAAATATTTAGAGGTTAAAAATGTTTAAAGTCTCTTTTTACGTTTCTATTCTCTTTGCATTCCCTACAGTTCCAAAAATAAGTTGTCATACATGATTCACCTGATGAATTACCGATGACAGAGGGCAAGTTCCGAAAGACAAACGAATTTAATTCAATAAAGCAGAGCTTGCAAATAACTGTCGACGCGGTTTTTCCTGTGCTCTCGTTGCGAGCCTATGCGTGTGAATGTATACCAATACAAACGCAAAAGACTTTTGTTCACTGACCACGGTTCATGGGACAACCGAAACAAAACAGAATAGAAAAAAACGAGTTCGCTCTGAACGCGCGCGAGCTCATTCCAAGAACTCATGAACGGGTGCTCTTTGAGTCTTTTCGTAAAGAGTGAGAGAGAGACACATATATGCAGACAACTAGAAACTGTCGACAGTTTTTTGCAAGCTCTGCCATAAAGACATCTTTTATGGCATATGCCATACCGAAACCAAATTTTAAAAATTAATTTTAGAAAAGCAAAAACAGTACTTTAAGATGCTGTAACAATCGTTTGGAAAAAAATTTTAAATATACCCTAATATAGCACTTTTGAGTTAAAATATAATGAATAACTTAAATATAGACGATTCTCTGAGACCAGATTCGAGTTCAGCGGATCTAAAACTTTCGGAATTGTACATTACGGTTTTTGGTTCTATAAAGCTGTCGGCCTGTACTGTATGTTTAATGTAGCTAATAATAACATAATTGATTAATTTATTATTTTGTGCATTTTTACCTTCAGTAGTATTGTAAGACTCTTGCTTTACACATGCTTGCATTATGTTCAGAGTGTTTGTATGAATATCTGGAAGCTATGGAGAAACGAAATATTGATATGCAAACCATTGTGACACTAGGGCCGAGACATTGGTTAAAATAAATTTATAACCCGTTAAGTGATTTGTATTTCTAGCATAAAGTTCGCAAAAGATTTAAAAAGTTTATTCATCACTGATGAAATTATAGAGCGCTCGTGATATTTCCCAAATTCCGATAGACCTTTCAATAGATTACATTTTTGAGTCACAAAATTAACATGAATCTAAAATAAAGAAAATATATTAACTTTTTAGTCAGATGTTGGCAGAGCAGCATAAAGCATATATATTTTTGATCTGCAACAACAGTCGAGATGATTTACTGCCAGTTTCTATGTAAACTAGCCTCTCAGTATTAAAGCTATCTGTATGAAACTTGAGATAGATAGATAGATGGATATATTGAATGTGGTATAATATATACATATTTGAATGGGCCTTATCAGCCCATATCATATCGGTCCGATTCTGTCTTAAAAATAAACCAAAACAGTTTCGATAAATCGTCGATCAAGCTTCAAATATGGCAATTATTAATGAATACGAAAAATTTCCCACAAGTTCTTAAAATGACCAGATAAAAAATTGATACTGAGAAATGTTTGTCAATATTGATTTCTTTAATGATACATTCAGGCCTGCTAGTTTGCGTATAAACGGACAGATAAACATGACTAAGTCGAATTTCCTGTTCATACTGATTAGGAATATATAATTTCTAAAATCATAAATTTTTTATTGGCATCAACACACGAGTCCGTTACTATTCAAACTAGTGACCCCATTAAAATATCGTCTACATGGGAAATATCAGAAATATTGTTTTGTTATTAGAATTTAAGCGTTTTACAGTATTTATTGATTAAATGGCTGAATTGATACATATATGTTCTTGTATTTGCAAAGTTCTTCAGATTCGAGGTCTAGTCGGCTTCGATTTTATAAAAATCAATGGCTTGACTAGCCAAAAACAACTTGTCAATAGACAAGTAGCAGCTGTGGTTACGATCGTTTCTTTGGCGCTACCCAAATCATCAGACCACAAGTTAGCATTGCTTAAAAGAAATTACAATATAAATTTTATAAATTTAATAACAAGCGGCCAAAGTTGCAGTTATTAAAGTTACACTCATCTACTGTTATCAGAGTTAAAACAAAAACCGATAATATTGATGGAATAGTATAAACGTTTTCCAAGTCCTCTTATCTCTTGCTATATCTTTGAGAAAAGTGCTCTTACTTTTGAAATAGTTTGAGTTTGAAAATAGTTAGGTGTCTTAAAATCCTTAAAAAGGATAACACAATTGAAGAGGCAATTTTACTTTAAAAAATTTCCATGGCGCCAAAACGCCGAAAAAAGCACTCATCAGTGAGCTACAACCTGCAACCTATTTTGCTTGTATCAGTTTAAGTTATTGTTTTTCATTGTAGAGTTAACATTCTTTTAAACGAGAAACTTTATGCTTTTCTTTTTTTTATTGAAAGTTAAAAAGTTTTATTTAAATAACCCTTAAGCCTGCTTAGATCCCATTAACGTTTTTTGTAAGTTGGTCTGAAAAATGAATATGTTAAGGGGGAATGGAATAAAAAGAAAAAGGCTAGGGACCGTGAGAATTGATTATCAATATTTTCTTTAAATCAAGAAATCATGCACTTGGAAAAGCCGCATTAAAAACTAATTACTACAATTTCAAGATACGCAATGATTGCTTAAATCTAGATCTTTATATATTACCCCAATCGCTCAAAGAACCAGAATAATTATTATTATTATTATTTTAAGATCCTTTGAATCGAGAACAGGCGACCAAAAAAAAGCCTTGTTTCTACTACACTAAATTAAGAACCGAATATTCCATAATATTGATATTCACGTAAAATGGCTTTGGGCTGCAGTTGTCAGCGATTGACGACAGCTGAGCAGCCTCAATAAGTTCACTATGGCTGTCTCTATGGTTGCGTCTTCGTCACCTGATGCTACTCCATAAAATTAAGGAGCTCACAAAAAAGTGAACCGGCTTTTCCTCGAGGGGTGTAGACTTTGGACTGCTCTTTCCGAACTTGATGGTGGCCCAGGACTGCTAGAATACAACAGTGAAACCTATGTACAATGAAGTTCACATTTCTCAAACAAAAATTCTCCGAATTAATATAATACATTTTTTCTGAAAAAAATTTGTTTTTTGGGTTTGTCTCTTTTGGCTTTATAGGATGATCATGTAAACGTTTTTCCGAAGAAACGTTTTAGATAGAGGATATTACAATTTAAGAGATATTTCAAGCGAAAACGAACGCTTAAAATATAAGGATTATTTTTTAGTGTTATTCTTTTGACCAAATGAATACAAAATATTCTTTGAGCGATTAAAAAGGTATAAAAATAGAATTATTATTAGTAGGAAAAACATATTAAAATCAATATATAACCATTAAACATTAATTTTTATTTTTTCACTTATGGTTACGGTTCCTGAAATAAACTCATCATTAATGTGGCATAAGAGACAAAAAACGAATGTTTGTTCATTTTCATTACATTTCATTTTAGAAAACTGAGCATCGACAATCCTCAGTACACTTATATAGATTTTTTTTTCTAATTTATATTTTTCATCGTACATTTTCATTATTGTTTATCTTTTCTTTGGTTTTTCTTTTCCCTTCATTTTTGATTAGTACCACCGACAATATTGCATGCAATGGAACCGGTTACGACCACACCAACACCAAAGAAGAGGAGGTGTACCAAGACCTGTGCGCACTGCACAGGACGAGTAAAAGCCAGGTAGAATTGAGCTGCCTGTCCGTGCGTGGACACTCTGCTGATCAGTCCCCTGGCCATTGACCACCCTAATCGCTATATACCCGTCTTCCTCCGCAGACCACCTCTCCGACGAGCTTGGAGCAACGCGACTACGTCATTCGGGAGCTGATAGACACAGAGTCCAACTATCTAGACGTACTCAACGCGCTGAAAACCAAGTTCATGACTCCACTGGAGCGTCATCTCAGTCAGGAAGAGCTGCGTATTATCTTCCCGCGCATCAGAGTATGTAGAAATGATCTTAGTGATCAAATCGTCACTTCAACTTTAAATTAAATTCTTACAAATTGGTTACATGAGCTAATTGCTTTCTTCTATTTTTATCGTTTTTATCCTGCCAGGCCCGTTTTTTTTATATTTATTTCCCGGGGGGTTATTATATCCCGGCACCCAGATTATTTGTGCTTAGCAAAACTATCAAGGACTTTTTGCAATTGACGTTCACGGCTGGCAGGAATTTGACAGTCAAGTAGATCCGTACCTTAGTCTCTCTTGAAGCCTCGTTGTTTTGACAACCCATGCAAGGGTCCCGTATGTGGATATTGATATATTACAATTGAAGTGTCCAGTTATAATAAAAATTGACAATAATTAATATTTATTTTTCAATACCTTTCTTTTGATGTATGTAGTGATTCTTGGAAATTGCATATTTGCATTTTTAGGATCCAGATTCAATTTTAACCTATTTACCACCGTAAGCATCTCTTTTATTAAATGTTGTAATATGTGTTTACTTTACATATTTGCATATATTATGCATTCTTTGTATGTTTTCATATATTTTGCATGTTTTTTTGCATATGCATTTTATTCAAACGCACATTCCGAAGTCATAAGTCAAATTCATAAATTAATAAATACATCAAACGAAAGGTATAGAAAGTTAGATTAATTATATATGCCAATCCTTAAAATAGGTCGCTCAGTTATTGTTATTGCAATTCAATTTTTATTTTCCATTTTTAAAATAAACGTTTTTGTCAATTTTTATTTTCAAATTTTAAAATAAAAGTTATATGTAAATTTGTACTTTTACATAACTCTTATATGCGATCCCTGATTTTATGTTGGGATCTTTGTTCTTCTTAAGTACATTTTTTAAAATTTTGTTTTATTTTATTTTTTTTATTATGCTTTGGTTTTATTTTTTAAATCTTCTCCCTTATGAGACCAAAAAAAGTGTATCAAATCGTACAATAATTCCTAACTAGCAGTCATGTAGACTGCTACAGAATAAAGGGCACTCGCACAAAACGGTCAACCGTTTTAATCAGTCAAATTCTTTCGGAGAGAGAAATAGTCTAAAAAGGGGTTCTCTCGCAGATGTTCTCGCTTCTTTGCTAACATTATTAAATTAAACATTGATGAGAAAGAATTAGTTTAATCTGTAATTATAGAGCTACAAATGGTTAATAAATCACTTCAATTAGTAATTAGTATTAATCTTATTAAAAGCAACTTACATTTCTTAATCCCCGGCCGGGATTCAAACCCATGAGGCAAATCAAACACAAAAAGTGTATCTCTTTCTCTGAGCTAATAATAGATTTTTTAAGAATGGTCGTAAGAGCGAGACGACATTATGATTTCCATTTTTGAGACAACAGTAGTATCCACACTTCTGTAATATTAAGAATAACCAAAATCTTAATTTAAGATTTTTAATTCATGATACTACTAGTTTTTGTTATTGCTTTATTCGTATTCTTTTTAGAATATTTAATATTTAGTCTCATTTTAAACAAAAGCTGCCTAAGTCTGGATCTTTAAGCCTAGTACTCTGACGAGAAATATCCGCTGTATAAATTTAGACAGCGGCCAAACTCCATATAAAAAAAACGGTGTCGAAAAAAGAAGAAGAAGAACTTTTAGCCACGTCGATTTTTCCGGTACTCTGACGACGAAAATGATGCCTGCGAAAATTGAATGGCGTTGCCAGATCAAGATAGTAAACAGCTGATATCGCGCTGTCTAAATAATTCATTTGATTTGGAGGGAAAGTTGAAGGAAAAAGGTGGCATTGATAGGGGCTGTCAAGGGGAAGCCCATAATATGGAATTTAACCCACAAAGGACATTTTAATGCCATATTTATGTCTAAATTAGACAGCGGGATCGCTGTTTATTTCGCTACCGAGCTAGTGTGACCAAAAAAAATTAAGGAAAATCCTGAAATGCCATGAAAATGTACTTTTTATGGCGTTTAAGGATTTTTTTGGTCACACTGGACAGCTGTTTGTAAACAAATATTAAAAAAAATATTTCTCGTCAGAGTACTAGGCTTTAACGTGTAAAACTAGTATATTCACCGGGTCCCGACGGAATACCGGGCTGCGTGCGGTGGTATGGTACAGAGGCTCTGTGTGACCCCCTGCAAAAATTGTTTACCACATCTTTTGAAACCTCTGAATTTACCCTTATTTGTAAGGAATTATTTGTCATTCCTCTCAACAAAAAGGTAGCAAATCAGACACCAGTAACTATAGGGGAATCTCTAAGTCGTCGGTTATCGCAAAACTCTGAGAATATAATCACTCGTCACTGGCAACACCTTCCATTTCCCCATCTTAACATTTATTTTTAATCATTTGGAACTTACATCATTTGTGATGTGATGCGACTTACATGGACTTTAGTAAGCTTATTACTTTGTTAATACTTTTTCTTCTTGTAACAAAGCTCGACTAAATGGAGTTTTCTTTTGATCTTCAATGAATTGTGAGTTATTAAAATGAGGGGACCCAAAAAGTTTTGTTTAGCAGCCTCCTGGTCTACTGGTTTTAACCTTGTTCCAACCAACTCTAGATTACTTATGTCCGCTGACGATGTTAAACTATGCCTGCAGCGACCCTTAAACGCTCACGCTAGTCAAACTTACAATTGGATCTTAATAATTTTAGTACGACTCCAAGTACTTATTACATCTCAATATTTCCAAATACAAACTGATACCCTTTTCACGTCTAATTAATCCCCATTTCCACATCACCCGGAGGTAACGAAAACGGCGTGTTTTTATTTTATGTGGTTTTCCCCAAATAGGCCCAATACGATAATACCCTCACAAAATGATATTCAGTTTTCAGTTTTATATATATACTAGCGGACCCGGCGAACTTTATCTCGCCCCAACTTCGACTGATTAAAACAAATTAAATTGAGACGTTCCGTTTCTACTTTGACGTACATGTCGAAACACTACTATTGAAACTGTGATCTTTTGCTTGAATACTCGTGCAGTGATGTCAGGTCGATCGCTGGATGTTTGTCCTGAAAGCAACAAATTGGTAATTTCGGGCCATTTCGGATTGCATGTGAAGGTGATGAATAAATCCGGGCGTCCGTAATTCCGGACATACGTCATCGCATCTTGAGCATACTCATGCATATGGCGCGGGCTTCCAACATAAGTAGCTGGGAGAATGGTCAAAAAACCGATGTTGGCCGCGTGTCCTTCAGTAGCGATGGCGTCACGCAAGTGGATGTACTCGTCTGAGCGCAACTTCGACTGATTAAAACGAATGAAATTGAGACGTTCCGTTTCTACTTTGACGTACATGTCGACACAGTACTGTTGAAACAAACGGCGGTATCTTAACAGATGATTGTCAACATTAAGTCGAATCATCAATCGATACGCATAATAATTCATACAACTAACCTTCTTATTCGTTTCTTCTCCTAAATTTTGAATTCAAACTCAGTTGTAGAATTAAAAAGACGTGATGACTTTTAAACAAACCTGTCGTTGGATTGACCATCTTTATGTTGAAGTGATACCCATCTTCTCCACGACAGAACATCAACGGGTATTGAAGAGCATCATAAGACCGATGAGTCTCATAAACTCGCTGCACTTGGCCATTATCCCGACGCTTAAGAACAATATCGCGTGATTCAACATTCTCGCCAACAATCACCACTGCGACTTCATTGATAGTGGGAGCATTAAATTGTCTTGCATGGCTACCAGTGCACTATGGTCCAGAATCCGTTTTTTTTGGCATAAAGTCGAAAAATGGAGCTACAGGGTTTAAACTTCGCAGATTTTATTGTTGTGGCATTAACAACTTGTGTACAAAAAATTGGGCCAGTACGACCACGCCCACTCTTGCCGCCCTTGCAAACTGATTGATATTTAATTTATAATTTTTATATATGTACATAATTACCATTTATTATATACATAATTAACGCATATATAATGAAAAAGTTGTTAAAAAAAAGAGAGATATTTTTCCGAATTTATAATTAGAATTATTGGAAGAAATTAACCGTTCAAGAACGTATTTACATTTGGGAAGATATTTATGAATATCACTATAAAAATTACTGCATTTTTAATCTATTTCCTTCATTTTCTTGTATTTCACAGTGTCTTTATTAATTTTGGTGCATAGTCACTTCGATACAGATTGAATTTTTCGATTGTTGCTGCTCCATAATTTAAAAAGTTCGCTGTGAATAAACTATGTATATTACCAAAATATTAGAAAAGGGGGACGAACGGGGATGAGTTTTTTGTTTGTGGTTAAAGACAACATCCAGGAGTACAATCTGGACCAATTAGTTGCTGTCAGCATGGAGAAGCTTATTAGTTATACTCCACGAAACATGGAGAACGCATGATAGTTTTCTAAAAACATACACATAAATTTGACATTACACAACACTAAATACGTAGAACTACACAAAAAATTACAATGTACATTAAATAGTGCATACCTTGAAGATTATTTTCCATATTTTAGTTGATTTTTTTGAACCAAAATAACACGTCTGACACAACATAAAGTAACTAAATATTTTGGCGCGAATTTCTATTCGGAAATGAGCTGATCGCAATCGCATTTTTAAAAGCTCTCAATAGGCTTTGGTGGCACATTTAAAGCATTTAGTTAACATTTTTATAACGTATGATGAATTTACTTTAAGATTAAAATAAGAAAACAACGATATATTAACATAAAAAAATCGACTTTATGCCAAAAAAAACGGATTCTGGACCATAGTGCAGTGGGTCTTTTTTGTCAGCGCTGATAATGATTTTTGTGTTCGTAATAATGCATTATATTCAATGCAGTTCATTCTCATGGAGAAGATTTTGCAATTGTTCGATAATTTCACGTTTAGTTGCAGTAAAAATTGCACAGCGGTGATTTAGTTCAACTTCCGAATCACCAATGAAATAGATCTGAAGGAATTTATGATCTTTGTTTTGTGGTGGTAACAAAGCGCCCCTTGAATCTGAATGTTGGGATTCAATTTTGAAAAAATGTGATAATAAAGAGACGCCATTACCTTATAACTTGGATTGTAGCCTGATTGTTGAACAACCTCGGCTCCAAAAGACGTCATTTGAAAGCATCCGTTATATTTTTGTGCAAGCTTCAGGAAACTGTTTGATTGGGCTGAGTTTCCATATAGTAGCGAGTACAAAGGCTCTGGTGGATGAGCCAAAACGGGCAATTTAATTTTGCCACCTGCACAGCATAAGCCGGGGGTTTCCAACCGAAACTTCAATGCATTACAATGCTGACATACAACAGATAATGAACCAATAACAACGCACGTAAGATCCTTGTAGGATGTTTCAGGATTGTATGCGAATGCAGCGCGATTCAAGTTTTCATTTGCGGCTCGTCTTCCTCTATTATTTTGTCGGGCTTGAGGTGGTCTTTGTGCAGCGCGAAGCTGTGCCATTTGGGCACGTATCGATGCATTTATTTCTGTACGTTCCTCTTGCGTCCGACTATTACGGAAATTCTGATTATTTATTGCACTGCGTGAACGCCGCCCAAGATTTGATCGTCTAACAGCAGGCATTACTTCCAATTGTTTAAGCTCACTTTGGTAATGCTTCGTTAGCTCGATTTTTTTGTTTAAATATTTTTTTACCGAGTTCATTGATACACAATTTCAACGCAGCTATGATCTTTGTAGGGTGTTTCAGAATTTTACATACAACAGTGTGTCCATCTGTTGAGCCGCTATCGACCTTTCCGGAAGGACTTCCCAAAATTTTCTTATGTTATAACCTTCTTCTGGCAATTACAAAAAACTGAAAAAAAATTGAGCCAAATCGGCCCAGCCGTTCTCTTGTGATTTGATCGCTAACATTTTTTGTCTCCATTTTTATATATATAGATATGTTAACAAGCCCTTCCATTTTCCCATAACCCTCAGCAGTACCGACTATAACGCTTGTGTGTGTGTGTGTAAGTGAGTGTATTCAACGCATAATATAATTTCACTTTATTGCCAAGTTTAGTCTAACGGTAAAATATATTTAAGTTTTATAAAGAATTGAAGGAATAAGAAATCCGCCGTAAAACTCAGACATCGAGAGAGAAAGAGAGAGAGCAAGATAACTTACATTTCTTGTATTTCGGCTGGGATTCAAACCCATGTATCAGAATTCATAAACTACCTGCTTACCAGGTCAGGCCACTGAGACAAATCAAAATCTACTGTCAGGAACATAAATTTAAACAATTCCAAAGGAGAAGCAAAAATGTGAATTTCTCTCTCTCTCTGAGCTAAATATATATAATTTTTTACTTAAGAGTTTGCGATTATTTCGTTATTTTAATCCCGAATCTGGAATAACTGAACCAATAAATCCGAATCGTACCTCAAAATTTCAAGAAATAGTGATATGATATACAGATGGCGCTATTGGCTGTTGTTATGCATATGTAAAATATGGTAGGACGTGGTAAATTTTGAGAAAGTGCCATCTAGCGGAATTTCTTTAAGGCGGAAGGCCTGCTTAGCACGTCCTACCATATTTTACATGCAAGCTACCAAGCTTATTGTATTTTATTAATTATTAAATGTTAAGACTGTTTATTATTTTATAATTTAAGTTGCAAATATTTTGTTTGTACATAATTCGAAATCCATAGAAAATATATCATTCCGTCTTCAAATTTGTATTATTCTAAAGAGTTTACTGTGGCGTTTACCTATCATACTTACCTTAACTAACGTAGTCAAGGGAGTGCCCATGTGGTAGGTGGCTCCTTGTTCGATTACTATAGGATACTATAGTACCCATATACCCAGGGATCGTCGTTTGTTTACCAAATGGGGAGGAGCACATCAACGTTTGATTACTATAGGGTTAGTCAACGAGGTAACCATCTCTTAGGGTCAGTTAACGGTACCGATACACGAACTAGTTCAAGCATGGCCAATCGACACCTTCGTAATAATTAAAAAAAAAGGAATTATGACTTAAAATTAAACTGAAATTTTGCCTTTTATTTTTATCCGAAACTTCTGCAGGAACTTTCTGACATCCATACAAGTTTCCTAGATAAGCTCAGAGAGTCGTTAATACCGAATGCAAAAAAGAAGATGGCCCTGGTTTTTCTCGAATTTCGCGAACCGTTCCTTATTTACGGCGAATACTGTTCCTGCCTGCTTGGCGCTATAGACTTCCTTGCGGATGTGTGCAAGAAAAACCAGATCGTCGATCAGCTGGTGCAGAAGTGCGAGCGTGACTACAACGTGGGAAAGCTGCAGCTGCGCGACATTCTGTCGGTGCCTATGCAGCGCATTCTTAAATATCACCTATTGCTGGACAAGTTGGTGAAGGAGACGTCGCCGCAGCATGAAGACTACCGGTCGCTAGAGCGTGCCAAGGAGGCCATGATCGATGTGTCGCAGTACATCAACGAAGTGAAGCGTGATTCCGATCACTTGGTTATTATTCAAAAGGTGAAGGATAGCATCTTCGACCTTCACCTACTGCAGAATGGAAATGGTTGCGATCTGCTGCAATTTGGGCGCCTGCTCCTCGACGGTGAACTTAACATTAAAGCTCATGAGGACCAGAAAGTTAAGCTGCGCTATGCTTTTGTCTTCGACAAGATCCTTATAATGGTGAAGGCCCTCCACATTAAAACGGGCGATATGCAATACACCTATCGTGACTCGCACAATTTAGCCGACTACCGAGTGGAACAGGGGCCCTCTCGCCGATTGCTCGGGCGCGATACCCGCTTCAAGTATCAACTCCTGCTAGCCCGCAAATCGGGAAAAACAGCTTTCACTCTGTACCTTAAAACGGAACCTGAGCGGGATAAGTGGCGGAAAGCCCTTACCGAGGCCATGTAAGTATTCCACTGCTGCTAAAATCTTTTAATAGACGAACTCTTTTTATTATACCCCCTACGATCAAAAAAAGCTAGTTTTTATAAATTATGTTTTGGATTTTACTTTCAAGAATAAAGTCTGGCTTACTCGCTTTCTACATAACTTAGTCACATAGCATAGGAACAAACTGTTTTGTCACTACATTGAAGCTAAACTAAATAGGATTTTTTTTTTGAAAAAAAAAGAATGGCTGTATATAAATAATTATATCCTACATATGACATCTATTCTTATAAATGATCCTCGATATTGATTTTACCTAAATCTTTTATAATCTATAGTCGAAAGTCCCAACTTTTCATTTTCATTTTGTGACTACCCTAACGTAGACTATGTTTTACGGCCATTGTATTCTTGGAGCACTGGACTAATTTCTTGATTTAATTACTTTCCCATAAACGGATTATCTCTGCTTATAGGGAAAGTCTTGAACCGTTCGGCTGTCGAAGCACAGATCACAAAATGGAGATATTTACTTTTGATCAGCCAACTACGTGTCGGCACTGCTGCAAGTTTCTCAAGGGTCGCATTCACCAAGGCTACCGGTGCAAAGTATGCCAAATCAGTGTACACAAGGGCTGTATCTCGTCAACGGGGCGCTGCCAGCAGAATCTTGTAAGCGTGCCGCCGCCCGTATGCGACAGGCAGCTATCAGCGTTTAACTGGTTCGCGGATAACATGGACCGAGAGACGGCAGCACATCGGCTGGAGAATCGGCGCATCGGTACCTATTTGCTGCGCGTCCGTCCGCAGGGCCCGTCAACTGCCCACGAGACGATGTATGCTCTCAGCCTAAAGTGAGTATTCGGACTTTTATTAATGAATCTTCTATTGCAACCTCTATTCATTCTCCGTAGAACCGATGATCATGTAATCAAGCATATGAAAATCAACCAGGAGAACTCTGGCGAATCATTGCTCTACTGCCTGTCCTCGCGACGGCACTTTAAGACCATTGTTGAGCTAGTTTCCTACTACGAACGCAACGATCTTGGAGAGAACTTTGCGGGGTAAGCTAAAGAGCTAATCAAAAAATCTACTTCTAATTAAAGCTTTATCAAAATTCTTGAGGTAGATTGCATTTAAATGTTGAGCCTATTATATATAGGTATTTTCTTTTAACTTACCTTTCTGCTAAAAGACCGGGCTCTCCAAAAAGCAGTGAAACAAAAGTATTTTAGCTCGACCTGTTTAATATGGGGTTGCTCAAGTTTACCTTATGGCAGTGCATGTACCAAAGAAATAAGGCTTCGCCCCAGTTTTATTTTAAAATTCACTCTAAGAAAAAACACTTACCAATTCGCCAGTCATTGTACCCACCCGTCAAGAAATGGTGGAGTTTAATAGGGTCTTCCCACAGAGCGTCAAAGCGCATCCACCGTCCGTTTAACAAACTGCCTATAAGGTTTTGCCGTTCCGAATTTTCTCATTTTAGACCGGCATCAGAGTGCATTTAAATTTAACCACCGTTTGTTATCGATAGTTAGGCAATAGTTTTTCGGTGCAACTCTGCTTTCTTCTTCTTAACAGTGAAAATTTTACCATTTACCACGAAAATGTAAACAAAGATAGCGAGGAATTGAAATATGGAATTTAAAATGCGGCGCCAAAGCTACAAACATACCCATAACAGTTGTTGGTGTTTTTCTGTATATTCTTGCCCCAAAATGTCCCCAACTGCTACTATTTAATATTAACCGCTTACCACTACCTTATTTTATAGATTTTGGATGCCTATACCACCAATATACACTCTTTGGGGCATTTGCTTTTTGTTTGAGAAAAATCATTACAGAAACTCACATTCCTCGTCATCTAATTCATTTTAATTTAGTGCGGATAAAATCTGACTCAATTTGTGCTTTTGCTGTTGTTAAACAGCCTAAATGGTTGATAAACTATTTGTTGAGCTACTGAGCTTTTTCAATAGCTGTCGAATTGTCCAATTTCTTTTTGGCCCAAAAAATACGCACTTGGTTTAAACGTTATAAATTAAATGAAATATTTATTAAGCCACGAAGTTTTCTATTGTTTATCAGCGAAGGCGAGCCGAATTGCCGCTGCGGATATTTATGACCCGAATTGGTCCGAAAAATAGTTATAGGCAAATAGTTAAGCTGATCGCCTTCAAGCGTAGGCGAAGACGAACTGAGAAAAGAATTTTTGCTGCAGTTAGCGGACGGCCAAGGGCAGCTATGCAAAGTTACGGACTAGAGCGAGAGAGTGATAAAGTTTATGTTATGCAGAAGGCAGGCGGAGAGGCAAAGCTTTGCTACGCAGAGCAAATCTATTGTTGCTGTTGTTTGGCCGCTGGGTCATCAGGTGCGGGCTGCATAACCAGACACTATTCATTTTACTCCTACATCGGCCGCTTCAGCCGTCTTTGTTTACGTTTTCATGAGCCACAGCTGATCGATCAGCTGTAATCGGATGCAGTGCACTTTGTGACGGTTTGGTCATTCCGGTGGCTCAAGGATGGCCAGGGTTCGTCTCAGAAATTTATTTGTTGGATGAGGTGGTTGCTGAAAGAGATGCCGACCCGGTCCCAGAGTAGAACGCCGAGAAATATACCGTAACTATTATTATATGTTTATTGCCTCGAACATTACAACTGTTAAAAAGATTGGATTTAGTCTGCTGCCACGGGTAGTCGCTCTGGAACGCCGCACTTCAGGGCCAGGTACATTCTTCCCGCTCGGGTCGACGGTGTCGGTGAAACGCCGATGCGCGGATGCCCCTCAGATCTCCTAGAGTGAGAATAACTGGTGGAGGCCCTCAGGTCTGCCAGTTAGTGGAATAACTTGTTAGCGGAGACCCTGAGATCTTCCAGTTAGCGAGCAGATTTGTGGAGTCCCTAAGGTCTTCCAATCTTTAGAAGTTTGTAGAGGCCCTAAGGTCTTCTAAGATGGAGAAGTTTGTAGAGGCCCTAAGGTCTTCTAAGATGAGAAGTTTGTAGAGGCCCTAAGGTCTTCTAAGATGAGAAGTTTGTAGAGGCCCTAAGGTCTTCAAAGATGAGAAGTTTGTAGAGGCCCTAAGGTCTTCTAAGATGAGAGGTTGTTAGAGGCCCTAAGGTCTTCTAAGATTGAGAAGTTGTTAGAGGCCCTCAGGTCTTCTAAGATTGAGAAGTTGTTAGAGGCCCTCAGGTCTTCTAAGATTGAGAAGTTGCTAGAGGCCCTTAGGTCTTCTAAGATTGAGAAGTTGTTAGAGGCCCTAAGGCCTTCTAAAAGAGAGATGGTTTTAGAGGCCCTCAGGTCTTCTAAGTTTGAGACGTGCACGGAGGCCCTAAGGTCTACCGAGATATATAGAGACTTATACGGAGGCCCTTAGGTCTTCCAATATTGAGGCGTACAGAGAGGCCCTAAGGTCTTCCAAGTTATAGATGTAAGGTATGGTCGGGGTCCGACTATTACCATTACTATTACCAGTATACCTTACTTGTCCTTGCTCCTTAGGCGGCTCCTTCCTGTTGGCTTACCCTTGCTCCTGTAGAGGACTTGGCCGATCGCTGGCCGAAAACTGAATCCCTTCCAAGGGCTGAGGCCCGCCTTATATAGCGCTCTGGCGCGGTTGAGTGTGGCTGTCACACCCGAAGAAATTTGCCATAATAGTGTGGCCAGACCCTCCTCGGGCCAGTGTGACCCTTTGGGCGCGATTATGGCGCGCGCGCGCATTTAATTCAAATCTATTCCATTTTTTTATATTCATAGTTTTCTATTGTATAATCCATTATCATCCTTATTTTATATCTTACGTATATATTTGTGCGCGTCTGCGCGTCACAACTATCACGCAGCTCTGTGGGAACGCGAGTTTCGCATTTGTGAAAAATCCCAACCGTTCCTCACAAATGCTCTGAGTGGGAAGTCAGTATAAGCACTGATTTAGGCGATACGTGATAGAAGATGTTAAAGCGCAATGAGTTTATATTATGCATAGATTGATCTTAGTAATGCATTTGGCTTAACTTAAAAAAATTTAGCAGTTTTTTTTTAATTAAATTTTAATCCTTGTCGCACGCGACATTTTTTCCGCCGTACTTCTTATATTAATTTGTACTTTTTAGTTAAATTACAAAACATATAAGCATTTGATTTCTACTCTTGCATTCTTAGAGTGAAAGCAGAATTCAAAGCATAATCCCTCTGTTTTAGAGGTTGTTGTATAAACAAAGCATGCATTTTTATACCCTTGCAGGGTATTATAATTTCAGTCAGAAGTTTGCAACGCAGTGAAGGAGACCTTTCTAACCCTACAAAGTATATATATTCTTTATCAGCATCAACAGACGAGTCGATTTAGCCATGTCTGTCCGTCCGTCTGTACGTTTCTACGCAAACTAGTCCCTCAGTTTTAAAGCTATCTGAATGAAACTTTGCATGTAGTCTTCTATATACTCTCACTGCTATGTCGGAACGGGCCGGATCGGACGACTATATCATAGCTGCCATACAAATGTTCGATACATTTTTAGAAAAAAAATATACCTTGGTTATTTTCAAGATTTTTGCAAAATTTTTGAGATATGGCCATTTTATATTATTGCAGAATTTCGGTTTTAATTTTATGAAAATCGGACGACTATATCTTATAGCTGCCATAGAAACGATCGGTAGCTGTAGAGAAAATGTAAAGCTGGGAATGCAAAACTGTAACTGTCAAACTGTAAACATAATAAGTATAGGTAAAATGTAATGAAATAATATCTGCAAGGGTATACAAACTTCGGCGTGCCGAAGTTAGCTTCCTTTCTTGTTTTAAAATGCAAATAGTACTGGTAAAATTAAAAACCTTTTAAACAAGAAGGGAAGCAAACTTCGGCACGCCGAAGTTTGTATACCCTTGCAGATTGCAATTGAATCATTAAGAATCGGGCCATTCTGGCTAAGAAATTAAAAAGAAAATATATAAAAGCTCTATATTTATACATAACATAAATAAAATGCTGAAAACACACACAAAACAGAGTTTCATTACATTTTACCTATACTTATTATGTTTACAGTTTGACAGTTACAGTTTTAAATTCCAAGCTTTACATTTTCTCTACATTTACCAATCGCTTGTATGGCAGCTATATGATATAGTCGTCCGATCCGACATATATAGCAGTAAGAGTATATAGAAGACTACATGCAAAGTTTCATTCAGATAGCTTGAAAACTGAGGGACTAGTTTGCGTAGAAACTGACTGAAATTATATTACCCTGCAAGGGTATAAAAATGCTAGATTTAGTCATATTTTTTTGCACTTTATGCCGCACGAATGTACCGTTCGCCATCCTAGAAATTACAATATATACATAAGAGCAAATGCCACGAAGTGTGTGGATTAAATATAAAAATAAAATGAGTTGTTTAATTTTTATTTTCTCTTAATTTTACACGATCATATTTTCTTAATTCTCAAAATGAAGCGCCCGCCTTTCTTTAATCTTAAAAACTAGCATACTGATATCGGTTAATGTGTGTAAAAAGTGGTCACAAGGCGCTTTTACATTACATTGGAAACGATTTGGAACATTTTGGAAAAATAATGTTCCGGCCAACAACCTTGAGTCTTTTAAAAGGATCTTTGGGATGGAGAAGCAGACCGTTTCGTATTTTGTGGATTGGCTAGGATCTATGTGGAAAATGTACCACTTGGGAAAATGCAATTCATCCTAAAAATAGGATTGCTGCACTTTTTGTCACACTTTTGTAAAATAAACTTTTTATGGGGCTTTCACATTATATCTAAACATCTAACCGCAAGGCCTAATTATTATCCGTTTTTCAGACTCAATCAGTCGCTGCAGTGGCCCTACAAGGAGGTAATTGCGACTGCTTTATATGACTTCGAACCGAGGGCCGGTAGCAATCAACTGCAACTGCGCACCGACTGCCAGGTTCTGGTCATAGGGAAGGATGGCGACAGCAAGGGTTGGTGGCGCGGGAAAATCGGCGACACGGTAAGCACACAAGGCTTTCGATTCTGGGGAAATTGTACGCCAGACTGTCATTTCAGGTGGGTTACTTTCCAAAGGACTACGTCCAGGAGCAGAAACCGGCCAGCGAGGAACTTTGATACTACAACTACGAGGTCTACTTTGCACCCAAAGCCATCAAGCCCACAAAGGCAGCCATTGCCGACTTACCACAAGAAGGACCTAAATCCGAATCTGTTTAAGGAGGGATTCTTAAGGAGGGGGTGACCAGTATCAACAACCGGAGCTATATTGCATCCTAGTTAAATATCTATATGAGAATTAACAAAAATTGTATTATTTGTCATTAAGGTTTTTTTTAATTTTCGTTGTTTTTTGGTTTTTTTGTAACATTTTTTTTTTTTTTTTTTTTGTTAGCTCAAGAATCTTGTGCCAATCCTTCGACAATTCAAAGATCCAAATCAAAACAAAAAAGAAAATTTACAGAAGACGAAAAAAAAATAATAAATTACCTTTAAGGTTTCAACGGGCTTGACTTATATATTTGAAACGCACACACTTATGTTTGCTTTGTCAACCTTCAGTTGCTTATACTTATTTTAAGCTTCAGTCTATGGTAATGTTTTCGACGCAAGAAGTGTTTTCTTTTACTATACGCGCAGCTTGCTTAAGCAACGTCTTTAAAGACGTTGAAATCTACACACAATACCATGCGCGTTTTTCCATACAATGCTTTAAATATTTCCATATACAAACCACAAAATATAACATACAAAGAATATACCGTATATTGAATGTTTACCACCATATTGTTGGTGTGCTGGACTAAACTCTAGTTGAATCGTACATTTTAAGTAAACAAAAAGCAAAGCAGCCACAATTTGTTCGAACAAAAAAAAATATATAGAAATTATTGAAAAGCAAAAAAAACGATTCCGCAATATCGATCTGTGTCACATTTACAAGGAGGATGGCAGTCACTGACCCTCTTCCCACTTCTGCTAGTGACCCAGCTGGTGAGCTCCAAAGTGACGCGTCCTGAGCTGGTTAAGTGCTGGGCAGTGACGACACAGGAGGGTAAGTTTAAAGGTAGAACCATCTTATTGGAGCGCGTGCCTATTGGCCAGGGGCCGGGATTTTTTGTACTCTTGAAGATCAGCTCTGTCCTCTGTGTTCTATTGTACTCTGGCCAACATAGTTTTAATCTGCTGTGCTCCTTGTTCATCAACCATTCCTTGCTGGTTAGTAATTTGAAATGGTCGTGAATTTCCGACTGGACTGCGGTCGGAGAATCTAGAGTGTCTTCAGTATTTGCGCTTCCCTCTGATCCTTTCCTAGAAAGCCGCCAGCTTCCCCGTTTCCGGGGATGTGATTGTATCCGGGTACCCAATCTTTTTGTCCCCGGTATTCTTCTGAGAGTTCATTTTGTGTCTCTTTACGTTTTCTCATCCGATGGTTTATTTCCTCCAGGATCAGTGTGCCCGGTGCTGTAGATCTTGCATCTTTTACTTACATTCAGTCACACCGCGCTTTGGAGTGCTGTGTTCTTGATGAAATTTTCCATTGCGATTATGTTTAGACTGGCATTCAGCCCTGCCGCGATACATGACCTTAATGCTCCCGTGGCCGATCTCTGTATTCTTGTTTGTTTCTGAATGTTGTATGCCCTAGTCAGTGCTGGCCACTATACAAGTGCTCCTCATGTTAGTTTAGATCTTACAACTGCTGTGTAGAGTCACATTATTATCTTGTTTCTTGGGTTGAATACTCCATTTCTTTCTGAACATCTTCCTGCAAGAGTAGGTGTAGTACCGACACCCATTGTGTTCTGAGCTAGCTTACTGCTAATAATATAATTAATAATTTCTACCAAAATTCTGGAATAATATAAAATGGCCATATCCCAAAAATGATGCAAAAATTTTGAAAGACAGCCAAGTTATAATTTTTTTCTAAAAATTTATCGAACATTTGTATGGCAGCTATATGATATAGTCGTCCAATCCGGCCCGTTCCGACATATATAGCAGTAAGAGTATATAGAAGACTATATGCAAAGTTTCATTCAGATAGCTTTAAAACTGAGGGACTAGTTTGCGTAGAAACGGACAGGTGGACAGACGGACATGGCTAGATCGACTCGGCTGTTGATGCTGATCAAGAATATATATACTTATAGGGTCGGAAAGGTCTCCTTCACTGCGTTGCAAACTTCTGACTGAAATTATAATACCCTGCAAGGGTATAAAAATGTACATTTTTAGCTTTACCTTTTCCCTACATCTATCGATCGGTGCTACACCATTTCATTAAATTAAAAACGAATTTCTAAGATAATAAAACAAAAATGTTAATATAATCAGACCTGCTCCGGTAATCGAAAACGGCAAGATTTTTTTGTCGTTTTCGTTTTTGAAAACGAGAAATTGGTGCACCGGTAATCGAAAACGAAAGATTTTTTCGATTTGAAAAACGGGCGCCTTTTTCTGTCCGAAATGAAAAGTAAATGACATTTTTTTAATTGAAATCAGACTTATTTACAAAAGGAAAAAAATAGTTTACTCAGTGGTCTATTGATGTTTATTCCACACCACCATAACATCTTTCTGGCAGTTAGTTATTTTATAAAAAAATTATTTCTGACCCCACCTCAGATTTGACCAACAAATTTTTGCCGTGCTCAACAAGATTTTTCGTTTTGGCGATAGGTCGATAAGTCCATCGCAAAAAGTTATCGCCAAGGTTTCCATATTATTAATATATTCATTTATATTTTATAAGTATTTTTACGTGTCTGTTTCGTTTTACCAACAGTATGGCAGCCTTGGCGATAACTTTCTGGCGATGGACTTATCGACCATTCGCCAAATCGAAATTTATTTTTGAACACGAAAACATTTTTTTGTCAAATCCGAGGTGGGGTCAGAAATGCATTTATAAAATAACTGCGTGCTAGATTGATTTTGTGGTGGTGTGGAATAAACATAAATATAGCATTGAGTACACTGTTTTGTAATAGCGGCCAAACTCCATATAAAAAACGCTGTGAAAAAAGGAAGAAGCCAGATCAAGAGTAAACAGCTGATATCGTGCTATCACAATAATTCATTTAATTTATTCGTACAGGAAAAAAAGGAAAAGGACAAAAATAATTGTGGGACCGAAAAATGTTCTGCCCGCGAGAAGGAATTGGCATTGATAAATGCTGTCAAGGCGAAGCCCAACATTTTGTTAAATACAAAAATACAAGCCGTTTCGTCTGTAATTAAACAATCTATTTTATTTCGATAAAACAAAACTCTTTTTTACAAATACATTCTAATATATTGCATGTACAAAAATCATTTATCACTAACTACTAACCTAAGGTTTCGATTTTGTGTTCAAGAGTTATTCTTTTAATTTTTATCCCACGTACACAAATACGCACCATTTTCTTATTAACTGTTACATTGCAGAATGTTCAGATAAGTTACTGAGTAAAGAGGTTGGAGACATAAAAATAGCCCCCTTCTCTTTCACGTTTTTACCGAGCCGTGTCTGCCTGCGACCGTTCTTGGTGCGCTTGTAAATGTTCTGCTCCTGCTACGACTGGGATCACGGCTTGCGTTGGCGAGAGTGTTCCCTCTTATTACTGGTCTTGTTGTTCGCCTTCCTGGCCTGCACATTGTAGCAGCGTCTGATATTGTGGTCTTTGCTATCCTTACACTCATAGCAGACCCTGTCTTCCTGCTTGTGGCGCACACACAGGCTGCTAGGGGCCACAAGGTTCAGCTTCTGGTTGTCTTCCTTTCTTTTTTGCCGATCGGTGCGATAGCGCTTGTACTGGGTGTCACTGCCGTAGGCGTACTGTTCCGGTTGGTTTTCATGGGAGTAGGTGCACGTCTCGGACACTTCGTTGTTCTTAAGCTGCAGACATATCTCGCACAGCTTGCCATCCTTTCGGTTCACGCGTCGGCAACGATGGTCTTTGATGGTAGTGGGTTCCTCAGCTCGAGTTTCCTCCTTCAGTTCCAGGATGTCCTCAATATTAGCCCCAGTCGCGTCCCGATCAAAGTATTGCTTTACAAAGTCTTCGTAGTTGCGTTCGTACGCCTCACCAGAATATAATCCATGACTGCTTTCCGCACTTGTACTATCGACTTGTTCGTTTACCGCATCGGCGTCCCCATTCACATCCTCGTCCAAATACTTATCCGTCTTGGCTTGTGCTCGAGTGGCTGTCGAGACCTGCATAATCTCAGGCAACTTGTCCACTTTTGACTGATTCACGTCAGTAAGAGCGTTCAAGCGCTCAAGGAGCTTGCCAGAACTGAAGGCGTCCCAGTAGTTAACTCTGCGGTCGTAGCTGTTCGCGAATGAAACGACCAAGCCGACCAGCAGCAGCTCCGACAGCAACATCGTACTGAAAGTATTGATCGACTCTGTCGATCGTGTCTTTTATAGACCCCGTCTCAGAAGCCAAGACCAGTGAAGCCTGTCCGACCACAGACCCATCAGGAAATGTGGTTTAGCCGAGATCGAAGGGAAATGCGAGTGAGGGAAGGCATAGTTTATTTTGCGCGGTCAATCAACTAAATCAAACTAAAACCGAACAAAATGAGATAAGGAACGAGTTGGAATGGTCAAATGAAAAAGGGGCTTAAGTTGGTGGTGGGCGAGGGTTATGAGGTAGTGGAGCAACAACTACGCCACGCGTTGCACATCACTCAACCGCTGCGCGCCTACGGTGAGGGGGGCAGGGCGGTTGACAGGTTGTCGCTGATGGCGCAACTCCCGCCGCTTCTCGCGCAGGATCTGCTTTGTCTGGGAGGTGTCCAGCTCCTCCCACCCACCGACACTGTCATCCACCCAATCTTCGAGATCAGCCTGCACAGGGAGAACACATAAATAAATATAAATATACATTGGTTTTTTTGGGTGTGGCACTCTTACGTTATTACTAATGGGAACCAGGTCCTGGGCCTGAAGTCTTGAAAAGTCAGTTGGGTGAAGGCTGCCAGTTGCACTTGAGCTGCAGCCGTTGTCGAGGTAGTATTTTACTTGGGGCCTAATAGTTGGCGCCAATCCCTAAAATAGTCAAAATAATACTATGAATTACCGAAGTTATCCAAATACGAATGTTAAGCCCAAAATAATATATTTCTTGTCACAATTGCGGTTAATTTTATGAGCTACATCAGGGCATCTTTTTTTCGAAAAGGAAGCTAACCTTTAGTTTTTTTTTTCTTTTTGTGGGTCAACCCCCTTAAGACTCGCCCTTAATATTAGTGATTTCCTATTATTGCATTGATTTATTTTTTCATTTGTTTATACTTTTTTTTTATTTGCAAAGGCAATATGTTTTCTTTTGTCTCTAATAAATAAAATAATTCAGTTTAGCATTCGTAATTGCAGACTTGAGGTCATAGCCGGCTTCGATTTTATAAAAATCAAAGGCTCGGCTTTAGCTTTGACCTCAAGTCTGCAATTACGAATGCTAACAAATATAGGTCGATGCTAATAAAAACAAAATAATTCAGTTTAGTTTAGCGATCCATTCGAATAGGTGCTTACTGACACTATCAGGCCTGTTCTAGTTTCCACTTCCGCAAGATCTACTCGGATTCGGATTCCTCTGACATGTTTCACTTCCGAAAAATCCTTACGGATTCGTCTCTGGGAAGTTTCCCAGCGAAACCGCTCGGAAACTTTCCGACTGACACTTGGCTGGCGGAATCAGATCCGCAAGACCGGAAATTAATTATTTTAAAATGCAATGCGATCATGTAAATGGCAAATGTTAATTGTATTTTATTCTTTGAGGTCTTAGGAAGATTATTGCATACCTGCATTACCTAAAGTTAATATACTTGATTTTTAAATAATTATTTTGTGGTTGCACCTTGAAATCGGTTCGATTCTAACCTTCAACATTATTGCAAATCCGCCGCCCCTGAATCGTATTTGAAAGGGACCATTTAAGGGTTGTCAGCGTTCCAAAAAAGGCATATATCTAAGATGAATTTCAAACAATTACTTTTTATGTTGTTTTACAATTAAAGGATCGGCTATTAGTTTAAAGTATATGAAAAAGTGTTTTTGTTTAAAATACCAGCCAATTCAATCTAAAAACTGAACTAAATGTTATGCGAAGGGTTTTTTTTTTATTCAACCTCGGCAACTCTACTCTCGAACATTTTGCCACCAGAACAGCTTATTGCAATTAAAAATATTTCAAAATGTTCCTTAGATTTTATTAATTAAATTAGTGTTTCATTACTATCTATGAGTTGGAGACTACAGCGGGCTAAAATTTGATCAGCCCCTTATTAGTAAATCTTAGGCAAAGCAAACTCTTTTGTTGAGAGCGCCCAGCTGAAATTATTTGGGAATTTAAGGGAAATTTAACAAAATTTCCTTAAAACACCAAGGAAATTCACCTTTGTTAATGGGAAATTCGCAAATGTTATCCAATTCACTTCCGAGTGGAAGCTAAATCAGGCCTGACTATGGTAGTGTAGAATTTTCTCAATATTGCAAAGCTTGTGGTGAAGAACAGATTTAGAAATTTAAGAAATTCGCAAATGTTATCCAATTCACTTCCGAGTGGAAGCTAAATAAGGCCTGACTATGGTAGTGTAGAATTTTTTCAATATTGCAAAGCTTGTGGTGAAAAACAGATTTAGAAATTTAAGAAAATATATGAATAACTGGAGAGCCTAGGTATCTCATTCTTGCCCTCGTTAGGGCCGGACATTTGCAAATGATGCTCCAAGGTTTCGATTGCCTCGGATTCATCACATTTCCGGCATTTGGCGTTGTCGGTAATACCCAGCTTGACTGCATGTGCAGCAGACAGGCAGTGACCTGTTAGAATACCCGCTAACCTTCTGCAGTCCTTCGCGGAAGATGCAGCGCGTAGTAGGTCAGTTTCTCGTTGTGCTCTTTGCACATGATTTTTGATATTCTGCAGGTTGCGGAATTACTCCTCCACCTGCTTTTTGCGCTTGCGTCAGCCCGTCTCTCTAGCTCGCTTTGGAGCGTTCTTAGGGAGATAGGGACGTTTTCTGTTCTTTCACACGCCAGTCCGACGCTTTCCTTTCCAAGTTCGTCTGCGGTCTCGTTACCGTCTATGCGTTGGTGGCCGGGAACTCAATAGATCCTTAGTGACTTTGTCGTGCTCAGGCTATCTAGCGACTCCCTGCTTGCCAGTACATTTTTGGAACTGACCGCTGATGATTGCGTGGATCTTATCGCCGCTTGACTGTCTACGAACAAATTGACCGCCTCATGTGGACGGTTTATGCTCTGCGCAAGCTCTGCTGCTTTCCTGATGGCGAATACTTGCGCCTGCAGTAGCTTGGTAGCTTATACGACAGCCTCATTTCAGGGTCTGAATAGTATATGCCCGCTCCAACTCCTCCTTCCATCTTGGAGCCGTCGGTGTATATATTGAGGTATTGAGCATGGTCCTGGCCTGACTTCCAGTCATTTGGTCCCATGAATACTGTTGTGTTTACATCCGGGCACGTTCTGGGTATCATGTAGTCAGATGTACTGCTCATGTCTCGACCAATTGAACTGTGCATAAAAACCTTGTAGCGACCAGTTTCCTGCTGCAACCAGACGTTGTGCCGCCTTTCCTGCTATCAGTTGCGCTTGGATATCTAGGGGATATATACCGATTATGGTTTCGAGTGCTTTGGTGGGGGTTGACCTCAGCGCCCCTGATATGCAGAGCAGTGCCTGCCGCTGGGTTCACTCCATAAGCTTATTATACGTTTTCTTCTCTATGGCTTGCCACCACACTAAGACTCCATACAGCAGAGTCGGACGCACCACCGATATGTAGACCCAATGCCTTAGAGCGGGTGAGAGGCCCCATGTGCTGCTAAGCATCTTGGATGCATATAGCGCTATGGTGGCCTTTTTTACCCTCTCTACTACATTGGCCTTCCACGTCAGCTTGCTGTCAAGTACAATGCCGAGGTATTTGACTTTTGTTTTCGGGGTCAGCCTAGTTTTGTTAATTTTCGGGGGGATCCATTGCGGCACCTTGTAACTCTTGGTGAACAGAATAAGGTCCGTCTTATCCGCATTGATATTGAGTCCTACCTTCTCCGCCCACTCACATATCTCCCTGAGCGTTCCACTCACATATCTCCCTGATCGAGCTGAGAGTCGATGGACAGACTCCCGTGATAATTATTCTTATGTCATCCGCATAAGCTGTTATCTTTGCTGCTTTCCTCTCGAATCTCTTAATTAGGTCGTCTACCACCAGATTCCATAGGAGGGGCGATTGGGCCCCACCTTGCGGCGTGCCTCTGTGCGCTCCTCTCACCATGGAAGCAGTGCCCCAATCTGATTGTACCCACCGGCAACTCAAACAATTTCTTATCCACAAGTTGATAGCGGAGGCGGTTGGTCGCTTCTAGGCGATCCATTATTGCGTCCGTGATGAATTCCCCTGTATATGTCCACGAATGCTCCGAGTGCATATTCCTTTTTGTATAGGGCTTTCTCACGAATGTAGTGCCGTCTCCACCGATTTCCCCTTTGTATAGGCATGCTGGTTGGTTGATATAAGTCCTGCAGCTTTTCGAGTAGAAATGAGTATTCCCCAGTTAGATAAGCCTCACGGCTTATCGGTCTGTAATCATTGAGGCTCACATGGCTGCACTTACCTGCTTTGGGCAGGAAGACAATCCAAGAGGTCCTCCATTGGATAGGGATATAGCCCGTGCTTAAACAAGCTGTATATATTGCGTAGAGCCATGGGATTATCACTTCTTTGGTCACCTGCAGCATGGCTCGTAATATTCCATCTAGTCCTGGTGCTTTGATCCTCGCAAAGGAGTCTATAGCCCAGTGGGTTCTACTAAACGATATCAGATCTTTTGGGAGATGCTCTTCTCCAGTTGCTAGGTCCTGGTTCCTATTCGCATCGGGTACCTCAGAGCATCCTGGGAAATGTGCATGCATTAGTGCTGTTAGGGCCTCTTCGCTGCCCTCAGTCCACTGTCCGTCGTCGCGTTTGAGCTGACTCTGTATGGTTGACTGCTTCGATAGCAGCTTCCGGAGTCTAATCGTTTCTGGGGCAGTCTCTATATTGGAGCAGAAGTTTCTCCACGAGTTTCTCTGCACCTCGCGTATTTCCTTCTTGTAGTCCCTTAGTAAGACTTTGTATTCCTCATTGATGATATCATCTTTCGCCTGTTTGGCGATTTTGAAGAATTCTTTGAGTTTTTTTCGTAGTTGAAAAAGGTCCTTATTCCACCAGGATGGCCTGGTCCACTTTCTTGTGTCCGATATAGGCATGATGCGTGGTACGCATCTAGCAGTTCTTTGGAGAGGGTCTCTAGGGACTTTTCTATATGTTCCGCGGACTTTACTATACCCGAAAAGGTCGCGAGCCGTGTCGCGATAATCTCCTTGAACTTTCCCCAGTTAGTATTCCGGGGGTTCCTGAAGACTGATTGTTTTGGAGAGTGTTCGAATGCGTATTAGAACCGTATGTACTTATGATCTGAGAAGGATGGTCTCTCAAGGACTCTCCATTCTGATACCAAAGTACCTTGTCCCCTTACAAGAGTAAGATCTAGCACGTCTGAGGAGGTGGGACCTACAAAAGGTGTGTTCTTCCCCCACGTTTGCTATACTTAGGTTGCTTGAGAGTATAAAATCTAAGAGTGACTTACCTCTGTCGTTTATGTCGGGGCTCCCGCAAACGCAGTGGTGCGCGTTGGCGTCTGCACCCACGAGCAGTTGCTGGTCCTTCGGGCTGGCTTCTACCAGGCTCATGAGTTCTTCTGGTGGTGCCGTCCTGTCGTGTGCCATGTAGCAGGAAGCTACCAAAAGGCGCTTTTTTCCGCTCTATGGCATCACCACGATCAGGTCATCAGAGCTGTAGTGAGACAATGTTAGCATGTAGACCCATCCGATCGAGTACGGCGGTTCTATTCTATTGGTGGATGGAGAAAATTGTAAATTGTGGACTTTAGTCCGACGATGGCATTGCCTGAATATCCGGATTCTGACGCCCGGTCTTCTTGGATTGCGATGGGTAAGAGTACCTTCGCCTTCGG